AATCAAAGCATGCCGATCTAACTAACAGAGAGACTTGCACATTAAACAGCATTGTAAGAGTAACACAAACCGTACAACTCAGATCGTGCGGTCTAAATTATTTGTGCTCTATATTGTGGACACAACCAATGCCTTCTTTTGAGTTGAAACAACCCAGGCAAGGCAAGAGCAAGGATGCGATGATCATGCACGTCAGCATGATTGGGAGTGGTAATTACTAGGATTAGCCGTGGTCGTTGTTTTAGTGTTTGTTAACAGAGATGCAGCGCGTGTTAGTGTCAACAGAGAGAAAGCAGAGACATTGCCCCCAAAGCGCGTCTAGATGTTGAAAATAAGGTGACCAACTGAGCATGGAAGATTGGCAGGCAACCAAAATCCGTGTGTAAAGGTTTCAGCAAGGACGTCTAGCACTAATAATATACTCTAGTTACGATCCAGTGTATGTTGAAGATCTCAGACAGAATGGCACGTTACAAGGAAAATTGGGATAGGATCTAACTCCAGTACGTATATTTATGTTTCACCACAAATTACAGTTGGGAGGCACGACAAATGGGAGAAGCTAGATGAGGCAACTGGTGCACTTGGCTATGTCAAGAACACCAAAACGAAAAGAATGATGAATAGAACAACCAGGAACGCGATCAACATGATCTGACCCTTGATGCCAGACTTCTTCATCACCATGGCCACTCTTTTCTGCACCACAAAATGGGACAAGACATTTTAGGGCTTCGTTTTGTGATTGAATTATTGGGGTAAGGAAGAAAATGGTAACGCGGGTCTTGACATGTGGGTATGCAAACTGGAACGCAAAATAGGAGAAACCACTGAAGATGGCCAAAGAGCAGACCTGCACGAAATCAAGTCTGTTGGAAGTAGTCTCCGTCTCCAAGCTTAGGTCGTTTAGGATCCTTTCCTGTAAAACAGGCGCAAGCATTCCAGTTAATGCTCCTGCACGACTCTACAAACTTTGCTCCTTGTCAATAGCAATTACCTGTCCGGACAGCTCTTCGTGTATGGTTAGCCCTACACCACCAATCCTTTGGACACTTTCACTGAGCTCATCAAGTTCCTCATCCTGCTTCCTGGGTACATATATCAAGTCAATGGAAAACATGCGAACTTCACATGGCTACCCTGGAAGTATATATAACTATAGATGTAATCTGCCTAGGAAATTTGAATTTAATCAGTGTATGTTATTTCTATCAATATTCACTACTGAAGGAATAAACAAATATTACGAATGACATGATTGCTGTTGACAGCCTACTACCGTAGTACGCGTCCATCTTCCAGAAACAAGACAACAGCAACAGAGCTAATAAATGTTGTAAAACTATGTAGATCAAAAAACAGTTAACCTTGCTGCCAGAAGGAAAAGTCAGTACAGACATAAACCAACAGAAAACATATGAAGTTATGATCCTCACACCCACATGGTTACCATGGTAAATACGCAACTAAGAAATATTAGGTCTTAGAATTCCAAGTTTAATCATCATCTGCATTTCTTTTACAACTTTTGACAGCTTGACAAAATGGTCTGGGATTTTGATATTCTAGAGAAAGCAACAGCAAAAAAAAAAGTATGGTTACTTACATTTACATAAAATTGATGATGATGTGCTGGTAGAAACACAAGAATCAGTGAGCAACGATAAGTAAACCAATGTAATATTCCAGGAGGAGAAGCAAAGACACTAACTAGAACAACTGAGGAGGAATACAAGGTTTATGTGCCACTAAGGCAAACTTTGACTAGGAAAACAACAAATTTATGAACTGTACACTACCTACGACAATAGACACAGGTCTGAGTTGCATATGTTGAATGCTGAACGGGCAACATATTTCTAACAAAAATGTTTGTAAAGTTCGTTAAAAGAACAAATTAAACTCACCTCATGAGTAGAAGCTGTCTATCTGATTCTGAAGAAATAAAGTCATCATTATCTTGGGCAGAATAGTGGTTGGTCCTGCTTGTATCCTGGTATTTTGAAGTTGCTGCATTGCTCTTGCCCTTTTCAATAGCTCCCTTGACTGTACCAACCTGGATATGTTCATGCATAAACTGTAAGTGAGGATCCATATAATAAAATAAAGTCCATTGGCAACTGCAGAATTTGGAACATGGTAATATATTATTCCTTATTGTCTTTACCAAACAAGTCGGGCTCATTAAGGACATGTACAACAATGTTGTGACTAGTGTTCGAACAAGTGATGGAGACACGGATGACTTCTCGATTAGGATAGAACTACATCAAGGGTCAGTTTTGAGCCCTTATCTGTTTGCTTTGGTGATGGATGAGGTCACAAGGGACATACAAGGGGACATCCCTTGGTGTATGCTTTTCGCAGACGATGTAGTGCTAGTTGATGAAAGTCGGACAGGAGTGAATCAGAAACTGGAGTTATGGCGGGAGACTTTGGAGTCCAAAGGTTTTAGACTCAGTAGAACTAAAACTGAGTATATGAGATGTGACTTCGGCACTACTACTCGGGAGGAGGAAGATATTAGTTTGGAAGGTCAAGTAGTGCCTAGGAAGGATACCTTTCGATATTTAGGATCAATGCTACAGAGAGACGGGGATATTAATGAAGATGTTAGCCATAGAATCAAAGCAGGGTAGATGAAGTGGCGCAAAGCATCTGGTGTCCTATATGACAAAAGGGTACCACAGAAGCTAAAAGGCAAGTTTTATAGGACGGCGATTAGACCTGATATGTTGTATGGTGCATAATGTTGGCCTACGAAAAGACGACATGTTCAACAGATAAGTGTCACGGAAATGCGTATGTTGTGTTGGATTTACGGTCACACAAGGGATCGAGTTCGGAACGATGATATACGTGATAGATTAGGGGTAGCACCAATTGAAGAAAAGCTTGTCCAACACCGGTTGAGATGGTTTGGACATGTCCAACGAAGACCTCCAGAAGCACCGGTGCGTAGTGGAATCCTAAGCCAGGATAGTAACATGAAGAGAGGCAGAGGAAGACCGAAGTTGACTTGGGTAGAGACAATAAAAGGAGACTTGAAAGGATGGAATATACCCAAAGACTTAGCCTTAGATAAGAGTGCTTGGAAAACAGCTATTCACGTGCCTGAACCTTGATTGCTTCTGCTGGGTTTCAACTCTAGCCTACCCTAACTTGTTTGGGACTTAAAGGCTTTGTTGCTGTTGTTGTTGTCGTCGTCTTTACCAAACAACAGGAAATCATGCAACCTGAAGTTGTGTAACTCATTCATGTTCAAAATATACCTCGTTGGTGATCCTAACAAATACGTCTAAGAAAAGACATCAAAGAGTCGAATCATCACATCACTGAAGAGTTGCTACAATATGATCGAATGCATACCTGCTTACGAGCAGAACCAGTCCAGTTTCTTCGTCTGGAAAGCTCAACTTCGTCAAGTCCATAGTATGCTGGATCCCTTGATGCGACTGAGATTGTCTTTTCCAGCTCATCTACCTTTCAAGTTGAACACAAGCAAGCACCATTTAGGCCAGAATAATTCATACATCAAGAAAGTGGAGACAGTATTCCATAAATGGTAAACTGATACATTAGGTGCATAACCTGATCTCATATAGGAAAAAATATGGTAGCGGAAAATGAACAAAGAAGGAAAAGAATAACATATCTCCATTTCTGCTTAAATTTCTTCTAAATGTACCAACAACGGAGTAATGACAACGTCAAAGACTTGGCTCCTACCTGCCACTCGATGCTTTCACAGCTGGTCAGAAGCTCCTTTGTCAGATGAACATATTCTCCTGTGTTTGAAGCAGTTTGCTCCCAACGGTGGAAGGTACTTTGCAGTTTATCAATCTGAAACAAAAATAAATTTATCCTGAGGGCCATACCAAAAGAATAACATCTAAACATGTACTTGGACGGGCTATATGCCTATATATGTTTCCAGGGCTTCAGTAGAGTTTCTCAGGGATAACTGGAAACCAGATGTAACTGCAAGATGGTGCAATATGTTTGTGGAACTATGAGAGAGACCCTGAGAGTCAAGAACAAAAGGCGAGGGAACAATTCAACCATGAGTTACCAGATCAAGTAAATGCCTGAGCCTCTACTGTGAGAGTTTAGTGCTGCAGGTGTAACAAGTAGCGTCCATGTCCCCATTCACCTATGTCTATACACACAAAAATTGAGCCCATACTGCAAATTTAGATTTTCGAGAGCATGAACATCCCTAGCTGGTAGCTGCATATTGGCCACCTCAGCATCTCTCTGTCCCGATTTGGTACAATTTGCGAACACGGTGAGATCAGACAACAGCGCTCGGATTTCCAACCTCTAACGATGCAGAACGACGGCTCTGATGATGATAGGAAAGGTTGGCAATCACTGCACAAATAAGAGTGTAGTAAAGAGCGAGAGGGAAGTACGGATTACCGAGTCCTGGATCTCCTCCCGGACGATGTAGAACGGATCCTGCGCCGAGCTCATGGCCTCCCCGACGAACGGATTCTATCGGATTGCTGGGCCTGGGCGCCTGGATGCCTGGATTTCCTCCCCACCAAACCCTAGCAAAATTTTGGGGCCAGGGGATTTGGTGCGGAGTCGCGGCGCAGACGAGAGAGAGATCCCATTTCCACTGAGTCGGTGACACTGCCACCACGGGCCCACCTGCTTGCCGCGGCCGCGCTCGTGGACTCGGTGCACGGAGCAACCCCTGTCCCCACGTGGCGCTCCGGGCCCACCGCGCAGTGACTCTGAGTCGTCGCTCTCCCTTCCCTTCTTTCTTCCTCCGCGGTATTGGGAAAGGGAGCGAGAGGCGAAGCAGATAAGGAAGCCAGCCGGCAAGGGGAGCCACACCGGCGTCGAGAAACCCTAGGGCGAGCGGCTCGACGACCCCTACCACCCTCATGGCGACCTTCGCTACCGGCAGCGCCACAGCACGCGCGGCGCTGGCGTCGCCGACTCCGTGCCGGCCGACCGCGCTCGCCGCACGCCCGGCTCCGGCGCGGTGGATGCCGCTGCGCTGCTCGACGCCCGCTCTGGGCCTCAGGGGAGGGGCCGCGCGTTCTCGGCGGGGCGCCACGCTACGGGTGAGACCTTCCTGGCATTCCTGCCCTGTACTCTCTGGTTCTCGTTGCGTTCCAGACGAAGTAGTGTTGGCTACTGTGCCAGCCAATGGAAATTGGAATGGAATGGTATGCGCGAATACAGTGGAATCGTTGCTTTAGAAACTAAAATGTATTATAGAAACTCACATCCAAATTAACGGCGGGATATTGACAAGCTAGGTCCACTGGCTGCTGTCCAGATGCATGAACTCTGTCCTGTACTCCTCGTAGTAGTTTTCAGAGTTTGCAACTACTATGAGCCATCCAATTTTATTTCTGCTACTGTATCAAAATTTCAGTTCCTAGTCTCAGACATCTGGGCTCAGAAACAATAAACTAGTATGAACTTGGTGTATCTTGGATGTATCCAACTTTTTTAAAAAAAATGACCCCTTATCTATTTAGAAATGCTATACAACACACATGTGTTTTAGCACAAAAAAACACATGGATTTTTTTTTATCTACGACGTCTAGGGCCCATATGTCATAACCGGCGTGCATGGAGGCACCACGCCCGTGCCTCCCCGGCCTGCTGCTTGCGCTGCTTCCCTGCTGCTGCCTGCTAAGCACGCGGCTAATCGCGTCGGAATCCCGTGTTCGTGTGGCCGTAGCGTAGCGTCGGGCCCCCTGTCGCTGCCGACCGCCGAGTACTGCTGTGGTGCCTGGTGCGTGCGATGGCGTCGTGCGGCATCACGCACTGGGGCCTGGCCGGAGCCGGCCGTAGTGCCTGCGCCGCTGGTCTAGGCCAGACCACGCCAGAGGCTCCACCAGACCAGGAGTCGCCCAATGCCAGTGGCGCGTTTGTGGCGGCAGCGGATCGGCCTCTCCTCCTCTGCGATATGTGGTTTGTCTTTCCATAGAAAAAATTATTTCTTGTGATCTGTGATCTGTGGATCTGTGATCTTATGATTTGTGATTGTCTGGAGGTAGAAGAAGGCTGGAGGCTGGAGGTAGAAGAAGGGTGGAAGCTGTTGGATCTTAATCCTATGGTGCAAAAAAATTCATGTGTTGAAACTGCATAAAACACATAGTTGTGTAGTAGACAGACTCTATCTATTTAGGTTGTCAACCTTATGTAGGTGGAAACACTTATGCCATGTAATAGCTATGCGATGTTTTTCCTTTTAATACTTATCAGATTACTTTCCAGTTTTCTGAAATTGTAGTTTTGATCTCATCCGTTGAGTAGCTCTAGAAGTGAGCAAGTGCCAACTGATACTATGTGCAATCTTTTTATGTGTGCTTATAGTCCTATAACTGTTTTCTTGCATGTATCCTTTTCCATTAGGGCTGCATAGCTCTTCTTTACCCCCTCAAAAAGAGAACTTGTGGATTTCTGCCATTTCTTCTGATATTTTATCCGTATTTAATTTTTGGATAGGTGGAAGCTAAGAAGCAAACTTTTTCTTCATTTGATGAGTTGTTGGAGAAGTCTGAGAAGCCTTTATTAGTTGACTTCTATGCAACTTGGTAAGTTACTTACTGGAAGTAGTGAAAGTGGTGGTGCCAAATGTCATGTTGAGCTATTTCAGTGCTCTCTACTAGATATAAGTTCCCTTCATTATTATTGTGTTTTTAGGACTTTGGTGTGTTTCATGTTTTTGCCATTATGCCAAGGTGTCACCAACCATTTGGGAGGTGAACATTGCACTGGACTAGCATTGTGTTCATCATCTGCGTAAATCACATGCATAATATCTACCACCTCGTACCCTTTTTATTTTTGGGAAGATACCAAACTTTTGGTGAAAATTGAATAGTTTTTGCACTCTTTTTTGCTCAAGTGGGGAAGAGCTGGAGAGGTTGGGTCTGTTTTTTCACTTTTTGTCTTTAGTGTTCACCATGTGTACTAACATGTTCAATTGTATTTCCTTCACAATTGGTATTTGCAATACCTCAAATGTGCCATACTGATTTCAAACCCCCTACTTTCTATGTTCCGGTACTGTTCATGATGATGTGCATTCATTTTCTAACAGAAAAAACATCACTATATGATTAATTTGGTCATGTTCTGTTCATGATATTGTTCATTTTTTCCCTTTGAGTTCTATCAAAATCCAGAAATCTTGTTTCATAATATACTCATCAAACATTGTCCCAACTTCTAGGGGACAGCTGTGTCTATTGGTTTGTTAGCTCCATTACACCATGCATATTAGGCTATTAGGAAGATACTTCATCATTCAAATTAATTATGAGCAGTCTGTACACCAGCATTGCTCTCTGTCTCTACATACATCTGTAACATACAATTATATTTACTTTTGTTCTTTTTGGTCAGGTGTGGTCCATGCCAATACATGGTTCCCATACTTGAAGAAGTCAGTGAAAAGTTAGGCGACAAAATTCAAGTTGTGAAAATTGATACTGAGAAGTACACTAGCATTGCAAGTCGTTACAGAATTGAAGCATTGCCAACTTTTATCATATTCAAGGATGGGAAACCTTGCTATCGCTTTGTGAGTGTTGAACGAAACAATGTTTTCAATTTTCATCAATAATTTAACTTGTGCTAATATACTATGTTTTTTTCTCTCTTTTGCTACCTGGCATTCAGGAGGGAGCATTGCCTGCTAACCAGATGATCGAACAGATTGAGAATGCTTTGGCAGTCAAGAAGTAGCACATATGGTAAGCAGGGCAGGATCGCCCAACCCCCACCCCCCAAAAAAATTACTTGGTGCTACCTCACAACATGTGCCTCTTCATGTTGAATTCTTTATTATTGTTCATGAGGTTCTACTTAGACTGCGATATGAATAGGCATTTTTTTCTTCATAGTTACAATCTGAAACTATGATATTGTGAATCGTTGAATCCTCTGCTTCTTGATGCAATACTGAACTGTAATTCCTTCTTCATCTTAACCTACCTGCTCATATAAACCAATAGTGCTACCCAGCATAAATATTAACCCGGTCCTTCAGCATTAGTAAAGATACGTTGAAAGAAAACCATGCTGAGGTGCTTATATCTGCAATCCAATTATTTTCTTTGCTGACTTTCATGATGTAGTTATTCTTACCAGCTGCTGAAGCTACCTTTTCTTTGTCAGACCATGCAAGTGAATGGATGCTCAATGAATTGTTTGTCACCAAAGGTAAATTGCTGGCAAGCGATGGGACATTTAGGATATGAAGGTGTACATCCAAGATTCAAACCTTTCATATCGTTTAGTATGCTTTGTTGTGTTAAAATTATTCAACCACTAGATTTTTCTATCTTACAATGTGGTATTTGTGAATGGGAAGAAAAGCTGTCGTTTTCATGCCGTATCCTTTGTCCCGAACTGAGCCGTACTATTTGAAGGCATAGGGGACGATGAATTATTCTTCTTTCCCTGCTGTATCTCACTTACGGGCGCGAATGATTGTGGATTCCAGCATCTATCTTCATTATAGAATATCAGTTTGTGTAGCGAATAAGCAAGTGACCAATATACCTTTAAGATTGTCTTCTCTCCATTCCTGAAACCTTCAAAATTGTCTGATCTTTTTTCTGGAGTAAATATTAGACTTAGTAGTATAGTGCTTTGGTGCTGGGCCTTGGAGGATTTTTCGGTCTTATGAATCATGTACGGAGTAGATGAGACTTCTTTGCTTAGTGGAAAACTTGTGTTCCTGTATAAAAATGCAATTGCCTGAGGATACAATAGTAAGTGGTGCTGCTGTGGATACCTTCTAGAAGAACTCTACAACGCTTGTCGCTCTATTTCACCCAAAGCCACCAGGTGTCCGGGTGAGTACGAGTCCCATGCTTGTTTAGCAATATACTTTGGCTCGGTGCCTGTGCTAACGGTAATGATGGGTGCCAAATGTTGGGAGCCACTCGTCTTGTCCTGTTGTAAAAAAGTCCTCATCCTGATTACGAAGAATCTGAAATGAGATTAAGAGTGCATTTTCTTTTCAGTTTTCACATGGAAGATATACATTTTCTATTTAAAGAAACAAATAAAGGAGACATACATTATTCTTTGACACTGAAAGATTCATCAGTTGTCGATAGAGCTCCCATTGGCAAATTATCGCATGCCTTTCCAGAAAGAGAAAACAACATGTATGGAAGAATCTTACCTTTGCTTATCACCTCTATAATCTCCATCTTAGTGACAAATGTAGCTGCACCAATTTTCTTTAGTGTAACTAGTTTTTCTTTGAAAAAAAATAATCTTAGGTTCATATGGATATAAACTGTATGGTTTGTTTTGATATATACTAAGCCAAATTTCACAACACCATCTGAATTTAGACCCCCTTTGGAACGATGGAAATTTTCGTGTTTCTTGCGTTTTCTTGTGAGAATAAATTGATTCATGCGAAATTATGAAATTCCTGTATGTAACAACAACAACAATAACAACAATATAGCCTTTTAGTTCCAAGCAAATTAGGGTAGGCTAGAGTTGAAACCCACCAAGAGCCCTAAGTCACGGTTCAGACACTTCAATAGCTGTTTTTCAAGTGCTCCTATTCAAACATAGATCTCTAGGTATATCCTAAACTTTCAAATCTCTTTTTATTGTCTTCTCCTATGTCAATTTCGGTCTTCCTCTACCTCTCTTCATATTATTCGCTTGTCTTAGGACTCCATAATGCACTGGTGTCTCTGGAGGTCTCCTTTGGACATGGCCAAACCACCTCAACCGATATTGGACAAGCTTTTCTTCAATTGATGCTATCTCTAGGCGATCACGTATATCATCGTTTCGAACTCGGTCCATTCTTGTGTGACCGCAAATCCATCGCAACATACGTATTTCTGCAACACTCAGTTGTTGAACATGTCGAATCTTTGTAGGCCAATATTTTGCTCCATACAACATAGCCGGTCTAATCGTCGTTCTATAGAACTTGCTTTTTAGCTTTTGTGGTACCCTCTTGTCACAGAGAATGTCAGAAACTTGTCGCCACTTGATCCACCCTGCTTTAATTCTATGGCTAACGTCCATATCAATATATCCATTCATCTGTAGCATCGATCCCAGATACCGAAAGGTATCCTTCTTAGGCACTACTTGACCTTCCAAACTCACATCTCCCTCCTCCTATACAACTCCGCCAAAGTCGTATCTCATGTATTCGATTTTAGTTCTGCTCAATCTAAAACCTTTAGACTCAAGGGTCTGCCGTCATAACTCTAGTTTCCTATTTACTCTCGCCTGGCTTTTGTCCACTAACACTACATCAGCGAACAACATACACCAAGAGATATCCCTTTGTATATTCCTGGTAACCTCATCCATTACCAAGGCAGAGAGATACGGGCTTAAGGCTAATCCTTGATGAAGTTCAATTTTAATCGGGAAGTAATATGTGTTACCATCGTTTGTTCGAACACTAGTCACAACATTGTTGTACATGTCCTTGATGAGGGTCACGTACTTTGATGGGACTTTATGTTTGTCCAAAGACCACCACATAATATTTCTTGGTATCTTGTCATAAGCCTTCTCCAAGTAAATGAAAACCAAGTGAAGGTCCTTCTTCTGCTCTCTAAACCGCTTCATAACATGTCTTATTAAGAAGATTGCTTCTATGGTTGACCTTCCGGGCATGAAACTAAATTGGTTTGTTGATATCTGCGTCGTTCCTCATAGGCGTTGCTCGATGACTCTCTCCCATAACTTCATAGTGTGGCTCATCAACTTAATTCCTCGATAATTAGTACAACTTTGGATATCTCCCTTGTTCTTGTAGATTGGTACCAATATGCTTCTTCTCCACTCCTCAGGCATCATGTTCGATCGAAAGATATTGTTGAACATCTTAGTTAGCCATACTATAGCTATATCCCCGAAATATCTCCACACCTTGATTGGGATACCATCAGGGCTCATCGCTTTGCCCCTTTTATCCTTTTTAAGGCTTCTCTGATCTTCGATTCTTGAATCCTCCTCACAAAGCGTCTGTTAGTGTCATCAAACGAGTCGTCCAGCTAAACGGTGGTGCTCTCGTTCTCACCATTGAACAATTTATCAAAATACTCTTGCCATCTATGTTTGATCTCATCATCCTTCACCAAGAGCTGCTCCCTCTCATCCTTTATGCACTTGACTTGGTTGAAGTCCCTTGTCTTCCTATCGCGAGCCCTAGCCATCCTATAAATGTCCTTCTCTCCTTCCTTCGTACTCAAACGTCGGTAAAGGTCCTCATAGGCCCGCCCATTTACCTCACTCACCGCTCGTTTTGCAGTCTTCTTTGTCACCTTGTACTTCTCTATGTTGTTTGCACACCTGTCATGATACAAGCGCTTATAGCACTCCTTTTCCTTAATAGCCTTTTGCACATCTTCATTCCACCACCAAGTGTCTTTTGAGTCGCATCCGCTCCCTTTGGTCACTCCAAGCACCTCTGAAGCAACCTTCCGAACGCATGTTGCCATCTTCTCCCACATGCTGTTTGCATCCCCTTCACCATTCCAAGGGTCCTCTTCAATGACCTTTTTCTTAAAGACCTTTGATGCCTCCCCTTCTAATTTCCACAACTTCGTTCTAGCAACCCTATCTTGTTTGTTCCCACGAGCTTGCACCAGAAAGCGGAAGTCAGCCACCACCATCTTGTGTTGAGCGACCACACATTCTCCAGGTATCACCTTATAGTCCACGCATATTCGTTTATCCCTCCTTGTAAGGACAAAGTCGATTTGACTAGAGTACTGGCTGCTACTAAAGGTCACTAAATGGGACTGTCTCTTACAGAAGAAAGTGTTAGCTATCATCAGATCAAAAGCTATGGCCAAGTCTAAGACTTCCTCTCCCTCCTGGTTCCTACTACCATATCCAAAATCCCCATGAACTACTTCGTAACACTTGATGTACCTACATAGCCATTAAGATCACCTCCTATAAAGAGCTTCTTGCTACTAGGGACAGCTCTAACCAAGCAATCTAAGTCTTCCCAGAAAAGCCGCTTAGCACTCTCATCATGGCCTACTTGGGGGCATACGCACTAATTATGTTTAAGACCATATCACTAATGATAAGTTTAACTAAGATGATCCTATCCCCTTGCCTTCTCATCTCCACCACACCATCCTTGAGGCTCTTATCAAACAAAACTCCTACTCCATTTTTTAAATTCCTGTATGATTCTAGAAAATACCTGGTTCCAAAGGACCAGTCAATGTGTTGGGATTTCATGTTTCTCTTAGGTTTTTTTGACTTGTTGCTATATATGATAGGTCATTGAAGTGAAGGAAAATAATTGGAGGTTCAGCATCAGGTTCGGGCGTTGTCAAAGTCTTTATATTCACTACTACAGAAACGTTTTTTAGGGGCGGCTCGTAACCCTTTGTAGGGGCGGTTTGACCAGTCGCCCCTACCAAACCGTCTCTACAAATCATGCATTTGTAGGGGCGGCTGGTACTACAGCCGCCCCTACTAATCGATTTGTAGGGGCGGTTGGCCCCCCTACAAATCGATTAGTAGGGGCGGCTGTAGTACCAGCCGCCCCTATAATACCTGTTTGTAGGGGCGGTTCAGTCTAGAACCGCCCCTACAGTACGTTTTCCCACAAAAAAATTTCAAATTTACAATTTAAATTCGACCAGAACACTGTTTTTTTTCCGCGTATTCTATCCAGCGTTCGTGTTGCCGAACGCCCCGCGACCAACGTTTCGAACCGC